CACACTTCACTGTTCTATCAGCAAACTTGTTTTCAAAAGTGCCCCTCGCAAGCAGTGTGCAGACCCCTAGCAATCATTCCTGCTGTTGTGTACTGTAGCTCAGGGGTCCCCAACCACCGGTCCCCGGAACGGTACCGGTCCATGGAACAATTTCTACCGGGCCGCCGGTTTGCTGGGCGCCGCCATCTTGTTTTGGTGAAAAAGTGCTTCTGGTGAGCTTTTCCGGGTAGAAAGAGGCGTTTGGGTGCTGAAAGAATCCTCGTGCCTTAGTTTCATGGGGGGGGGGGGCGGCTTTGAACAAAACTAAGGCGCGAGGATTCTTTCAGCACGCATGGCAAGGCGAGCTGAGCGACCGTCCCGAAGCCCATCGACACAGGTACAAAGGAGGAGTTGAAGGTGGCGGGGAGAAGCGGGGGATGGCTGGCTGGCCAGTCGCTCAGCTCACCTTGCCATGCGTGCTGATGCCGGTACCGGGCCGTGGATGATTTTGTGATGCCGGTACCAGGGCGTGGATGATTTTGTGATACCGGTACTGGGCCGCGGCACAAAAAAGGTTGGGGGCCACTGCTGTAGCTAATTGGAGCACAGTGTAGTAAGTGAACCAGATAGCCCTAAGTGTGCCAATTCAAGTTGGAAAGCCCAACATTTGGTCCAATGGAAGTAGGACACTATGCATTTTTACTTGCTGTCTCTTCCATTTCCATATATCTGTTCTCTTTCTTTCTGATCAGATGCTGGGCAGCATCTTCTCTCTTTGCTGTCATTTTTATTTTCTAAGAAAACTATTTGGGGCATTTTGAGATGTAGCACAGAATCAGTCCCAGAAATATAGCTTATACCCCCCAAGGCAGTCTTTTTGCTTTTATGCAGGCCAGCTTCTCTTCTATTCCTTTTCATTAAAAGCATCTAAATAAATAAGCAACAAGTGAGCAGGGGAGGCACAGAGTTTCAAGAGAGATATTTTTGGTTGGCATGTTGGTGACCCAAAACCTAAAGCCATAATTGGTGAAATGCCTGGGCCTTGGTACTGAGGTCCCAGTGGCAGAAGGACCAGCAGATAAGAGCTGTATGAGCAAGAATAGGATTTGACCGGTGTAACTACCGGTTCTGTTGGTAGTCGAGTCGCATGAGTGCAATTTACAACCTGCTGAGCTGCCCAGACAGCTGAGCAGTGCTGCATGCAAGTGCACAGCGGTTGGCAAAGATCTTTCTTCCAAGGATGGAAACTTAGATTTCATGTTGTTCTTAGAGTTCTATCTAAGGAGGGAATCAAATGGAATTAACTTTTTCTGAAGAATCAGTTGTTCTACAATGCTCAGTTGGCAGAAGCAACATCTATAGTAGTTCAGGCAGTTTTGGACTTCCAACTACAATTGTAAGCAATTCTGTTGCTAAGTTTGTTAAGTGAGTTTTGCCCAATTTTAAGATCTTTCTTGCTACAGTTGTTAAGTGAATGACTGCAGTTGTTAAGTTAGTAACACAGTTGTTAAGTGAATCTGGCTTCCCCATTGATTTTGTTGTCAGAAGATCTTGCTAGATCACGTTGATCACGTGACCTTGTAACAGTGCCACCATCATAAATATGAGTCAATTGTCAAGTGTCTGAATTTTAATTACATGACCATGGAGATGTTGCAATGGTTCTAAGTGTGAAAAATGGTCATACGTCACTTTTTTCAATGCCATTATAAGTTTGAATGATCACTAAACAAGCTGTCATAAATCGAGGACTTCCTACATGAGATACATTCATTGTATGGCAAATAACCACATCATTAGTATATTGCATAGCTAAAGTGTTGGCAATTGGCTGTCTGTCTATACCGCACACATATCAGTCTGAGTTGTGTTAACAAAGGTCTGATGAAATGGGCTGAATGCCACGGCTGAAAATAGATCTTTATGCTTTACAGAAATGAACTTAGTCAGCAGAGATGAAGTAGAAACAATCATTATTTTAGTCACCCTTGCAGTCTGAATCTTGCAACTGTTCTGAAACTAACTTTGAAGTAGGTCTGTAGATTCCACTCAGAGAAAGGAAACTGATAGTGGTACTTGCGTTTCAGGAAGACTAAAAAAATGATTAGGTTCCACAGATAGGCTTCATCATGGGACCTTCAGTTTGGAAAGATGGATGAAAAAAAGCATATTTGCGTCTTGGCTGTTCAGTTTCAGGCACAAGCGAAATATTATTTTTATTATTGGAGAGCTAGTTGCTTTGGTGACTAAGGCATCATACTAGAAACCTGCCTCCACAGTGTACTTTTATTGTAAATTGCTTTGATTATGTGAATAATGTAAAATACTTATTAGTGTTGTAAGGCTACTAAAATATGGCTCTGAGACTAGGCTATTCCCAAGGACTGTACTATTCTAAATTAGCCTCAACATTTCCCTAGACACACTTTAAATACCTTAATTTAAAAATAAGAGTCACATACGTTTTGTGGAAAATAAGTGTTTTGCAAACAATTGAAATGTGGCAATGGATTTAAGTAACAAAATATAAAGCAAAAGCCATGCCTATTAAAATTTTAAACTGTACTTGGATTCTTAGGCCAAGCTAGATGTTGCATATAGGTTGCATGGAAGGGTCTCCAAATTTATATCAGTTTAAAAAAATTAAATGGTATGTTTTGACTGAGATGAGGACTGCTGCATAAAAACTCTTCCCTGTTCTTTGAACATGTATTGAAAATTTGAAATGCCACCAAAACTGACCAAGGAGGAAACAAATTATAGTACATTTATTCCTCAAAGTAAGAGGCTATATTGAGACACAATTCTTCCAAAGGAGACAGGAGATCCTGATACCATCATACTACCTAGCCTGTTTCAGTATATAGAGTATATTTCGAAGAGAAATACCGAAAATGAAACTGATTCAGAAAATTAAAATAAAACCTTTCTTCCTTTTATTATTCAGACATAAACATCCAGGCTGGGAAAGAAATTTATAAGAAATGTAGTACAAGAAATGGGAAGGCCTGTGGAAGGCTCGTGTAAAGCACCTTGATTTTGTGAAGTTGCTTTGCCATCATCTGAAGCTTTCTTATATGCCTTGCTAGGCCCCGCTGTCTAAAAACTATAGTTGTCTTAAGTCACAGGGGTCTCCAACCTTGGCAAGCTGGCTGACGAATTCTGGAAGTTGAAGTCCACAAGTCTCAAAGTTGCCAAGGTTGGAGATCCCTGCTTTCATCTCAGACCAATTGTCTTTAATTCTCTCCACCTCCATACATTTCCTACGGCTCTTAGGAAAAGATTAAGATTTGGAAGAATCCACAGCTGATATGGCATGAACCTTTCACTACTGCGTAACTATTCTTAAAGGTTCTCCACTGTTATTATTTTAATTGGCGTACTGATATTTAATTGATATTAGTACCGGTGCCACTATAAGATGACTTAGAATCTATTTAGGATGCATTGTTTTTATGAAGATATATGATGCTTCTTATATTCTTCTAATTTAAGAAATAATGGGCATTTGCTGGGTTAAAATTTTTAAAAGTTACCATTTTGTAACTTACCACATTTTGTAATGTGGTTGAACATTACGTGACTTCCTGCTGTAGGAATTAATCTAAGTTTTTCCAATATTTCACTGTCTTTTACTTTACTTTCAGATACTTTCAATCCTTAGGAGCAAACTAATTTTACTTTGGGAATTCCTGTTACAGTTTAAAATTTGGGGTCCTGCTCTGCCCCATCCCACAGTGACCCCCCACAATTAATGCAACCTCTTTGCAGAAAGACACACTCAAGTCCTGGAGTATTTCAACATTTCTATAACTTCCCTCTGTCACACATTCTCTTGTATAAGGCAAATGCTCTGTTGGATTGCATATTACCTCTCAGTAAATATCTGTGCTATAGATCCCAGCAGCTTAGTATCCTTTCATTAAATCACAATCTGGTGCAACCGAATGGTTCGGAAAGGGCCTGATTTGTAGAACCGAACAGTGCAAAATAATTGATTTTATGCACGATGTTATGCTACCCAGCTCTCTCTCTTTTTCAAATAATGTCTTATTTTGCCTTGCAAGAGATTGAGAAAAACCCTATGTATGAATTAGGCTAGCAGCTTATCTGTCGAGTATCTTAATGGATACCAAGCACTTTTGGCTAAGCAGTCTGCGTGTCAGGACAGTTTTCTCTTCCCACCTCCCTCCCTGATCCGGAGGAAACCTGCCGCTTTCTGACATGCCTGCGGACGAGGGTGCGGAAGTCTTTTTTGTGTTGCTGGCAATTTCGCAACCGACATTCACGCCCCAGAGCTCAGTCCGATCCGGCCCGGCTCGCTTTCTTATTGCAGCCCCGGTTGCACCGACTAAGACGAGGGTCTCCCAAACCTTGGCAAGTTTAAGACTTGTGGACTTCAACTCCCAGAATTCCTGAGCTAACACGACTGGAGGAGGAGTTCTGGGAGTTGAAGTCCACAAGTCTTCAAACGCTGTCAAGTTTGAAGATCGCCTGGAGTTAAGATCTCAAGGGGATCGATCCGTTTTGCCCGAGCTTCCGCTCTCTCGCAAGCCGCCGCCCCCAGGTGGCTCAGGCGGGAGCCTGGCCGGGCTCGGCAAAACTCAACTTCCTGGCCTGACTTTTGGACAGTGACAGCCTCCCTCCGGGCCCCACCCGACCCAGGGAGAAGCAGCTCTTTCTCTTCGCCAAACGAGCCTCTTCCTCGCCCTCTCCAACGCATCGCAACGAGAAGGGGCAGGAGAAAGTCAGCCAGCCAGCCAGCTTCAAGGCTGGCAGAGCTACAGTAGGGGGAGGAGGGCTGAAATCTCCGTTTAGGACGCCGAATGCACCACGTCCTGCGGGGCTCTCCCGGCTGAGCCGCAACAAGCACCGATCCACGTGTCAGGAAGGACCCCCTTGCCCTTTCCCCCTTGCCCAGCGGGACTCTCCCGCTTCCAATAAGAGGGGAGGCGGCGGCGGCGGCAGCAAGATCAAGATGACGGCTTCCAGGAAGAGAAGGAGAGCAGCGCCTCCCTTACCTGGCTTAGCTGGCTTAGGCGGCGGCTTGGACATCGCTGCGTCCAAGTTTGCACAGCCAAGCCTCCGCGATCGCCGATCCTAGCGCTGAGCCGGCTCGCTCGCCGCCTCCAGATCGCCTTTCCCCTGCGGAGGATTTGGGGAGCGGCGCGGCTCGGGAGCGACCTACGAAGCTCGGAGGGAGCGTGGGTCGGGGGGGTCGGGTGGACGTCCCAGATGAGCTCTCTCTCGGCGAGGGCACGAAAGGTGCTGTTGCAACGACGAGGAAGTGCGGCTTGGTCGCAGACTGGCTCCGCCTAGAGGCCGAGGAAGCGCACGGCAGGAAGAGCGAAGGGAACCAGGAGAAGGCGGAATCATCCCAGGAGGGGGCGTTTCCCGTGCGGGAAACGGGGGGGGGAATCGACAAACAGGGCGACGAATCACAGCGCGGGAAGCTCCAATAAGGGACGGGGCGGTCCCCTTAAGGCTCCCGGACTGACTGCGAGGGTTTGACCAATCGGAGCGCAGCGGTGGGGCCTAGTGCCCGCGTTCTTGGTCGTACAAGCAAGGTTAAGCGCCTCTGCCTTTTTTTTTCCTGCGGTTTACTGAGGTAGCGGCTAATGGGGTGATAGAAGTGGGAGGGGCTTGGAGGCGCCCCGCCCCTGAAGGCAGGCTCCGCTTGGCTTTCCTGAGGGAGGTGTTTGCGCGCTTTGCTCTGAAGAGGAGAAGTGTGAGTTGCTTTGTTTGCGTTGCTTTTGCTTCTCTGCCTTAGGGAATCTCTGAACAGAAGCCCTTGTAGAATTCACCTTCCTTAAAAAAAAAAGAAAAACCGAAAATCTGACCTCGTTCTCTGCAGTGTGTGGTTGCAAACGCACTAAAAGTGTGTGATTGCAGATTGTGGACGTTCTTGGGCAATCTGTACTTGGCGCCTTAATGATGTGTTTGTGTTTTGAATGCGATTGTCAGCATTCCTGGTCTTTTCTTGAGTTGAGTAACCTTGTGCTATCGGTCTTCCTTAATGGTGGTTTTTGTTTTCTATGGCTGCTTTCAAACCAGCGCTTTATGGTAAGAAAAAGATAAAATAAATGGGGGAAGGAAAGAAGGGTAACAAACATAACTGAAATTATGTTTAGAAAGCCGAGCCAATACTATATGGGGTAAAAATCCTATTCATAACCATTTATGTTTCTGTACAAAACATCCTTCCCTCAAAACGACGCTATAGAGCACTGCACACCAGAATAACTAGACACAAGAACAGTTTTTCCCCAAAAGCCATCACTCTGCTAAACAAATAATTCCCTCAACACTGTTCAACTATTACAAAATGTGCACTACTATTACTGTTAATCTTCTCATCACTCCTTATCACCCATCCCCTCCCATTTGTGACTGTATGACTGTAACTTTGTCGCTTGTATCCTTACGGTTTATATTGACTCTTTCCTAGTATGATTTGATTGCTGATTGTACCCTATGACTATCATTAAGTGTTGTATCTTATGATTCTTGACTCTTGATGAATTTATCTTTTCTTTTATGTATATTGAGAGTACTTACGCCAAGACAAATTCCTTGTGTGTCCAAGCACACTTGGCCAATAAAGTATTCTGTCCTGTCCTGTTTCTATTCTATTCTATTCTATTCTATTCTATTCTATTCTATTCTATTCTATTCTATTCTAAAAACATAACCCATCAAAACCCATTTGTAATTATTCCATGTTTCCCCCTTATACAGATCATTCATGGTTTGGATGAATCAATGAGAATACTGGACAATTATAATGGAAATTGCTTAAAATTTTGCCTTAATGAATGAAATAAGTAACTGTAAATGAGAAGATAATTCATACTGCACTTGTTACTCATTCATTGATCATGTGCCATTAAGTCTGTGTTGACGGTGGCCATATATAGACTTTTCCCAGGGTGATCTAAACCCAACCTGACACTTCATATTGTTCAATTAGGACACCCATTGTTGCTGTAATTTCCGTGTACCTTCCTGATCGTGATCTTCTCTTTTTTCCTCCCACCTTTCCTAGCATCGTAGACTTCTTCACAGAACTAAATCTTCACATAATGTGTCCCAAATACAGGTTGTCCTTGGCTCACGATCTGAATTGAACTGGAATCTTCATAGTTGAACAAACCAGTAATTAATCAGGATGTCACGTGACAGTTTTGCTCAATGAGTGCAATCCCTGCACACCCAATTGTGGTTAATTTGTGGGTGGCCAACAGGAAGGAATAGAAGGTAAGATAGATACGACAGAAGGTAAAGAGGAATGGAAGCCTTAGAGGTGGGAAGGCCAGCAAAGACCACATGCCAAGTGCTTTTCCTTCCTGCTAAAATCCAAGCAAGATTTTTAGCCTTAAGCAGAGAGACACACGTGCCTAACCTTCACCTGGCCTCCCAGGGCCTCTCCATCCCCAAAGCACCCTGCACTCCTTTTCTTTACTGTTCTGAGTCTCCGTTCTGGTATTGAATATCCTGTTTAAATTTCGGGTTCCTCCCTGCTGAAGGATGTCAGCTCCTGAGCTTCTCAGGTATAGAAGTGTCACAGTGCTTGATTTCTTCCAAAGTTTTTGCTGCTACCCTACCAAATTCTAGTCTATGATGTAATCCTGGGTTCCATTACTGCTTATACAGATAGTCCTCGACATACGACCACAATTGAGCCCAAAATTCATGTTATTAAACGAGACATTTGTTACATGAATTTTGTCCCATTTGAAGTCCCATTGACTTTGCTTGTCAGAAGGTCGCAAAAAGTGATCACATGATCCCAGGACATTGCTGCTGTCATAAATATGAGTCAGTTGCCAATTTATGCCAATAGTCGTAAGCAGGGGTCGGCTGCTGGGGGTTTGCAGTGGTTCGGGAGAACCCTTAGCTAAGATTCTGTGCAGTATGGAAAACCCCCAAATCCCACTCCTGGCTGGCCCTACCCGCCCCGCTCCACCCCCCCAGGAGTCCCCACATGGCCTGTTTTGGATGCAGGTAAGTGCAGGGCGCGCACAGAGGCTTGGGGAGGGTGAAAATGGGCCTCCCGGAAGTTCGGAAGGCCAGAAATGGGCACATTTCCGGCTTCCAGAGAGCCTCTGGAGCCTGGGGTGGCCGTTTTTGCCCTCCTGGAGGCTTGAGGAAAGCCTCTGGAGCTCGGGGAGGGCAAAATGGCCCATCCCCCACCATGGTACAGGAGGCCAACTAGGCCACGCCCACCATGGTCACACCCATCCAGCAACCGGGCAGAGAATCCGTTGCTAAAATTTTTGAAGCCCACCCCTGGTCATAAGTCACTTTTTTCATTGATGTTGTAACTTGGAACAGTCACTAAATGAACTGTTGTAAGTCGAAGTCTATGTGTATTCAGTCCTACAAAGCAGGAGCTATCCATTACTTCAGTATGTTCTTTGGCAAGTCTGAGGCTGGTTGTTGTATCGGTTGCCATTAAGTTAGCCATCTTTATATTTAATCAGATTGGTGTCTTCACTTGGCTCTTTGATTTACAATAATAAAGAGTTAGTAGATCATTTACACTTTCACCTTTCAAAGTAGTCTTGTCAGAATGGCACAGTTCTCTTCCTCCAATTTAAAAATTGTGAGCATTTTCAATTAATGAAGAAGAAAACAAGGAATCTCCTTTGCAGACTGGGAAAAAGTCGATTACACCATGTTCCATCCTGACTGTAACTTCCTTTCTTGTTCCATTTAAGTTTACTTGTATTAGGAACTGCAGTCTTATTCAACAAACATGGAGCTTTTATTTACAAACAATTGTAAATTGTTGGTGTAATTTGAATAGGGCTGTGTCTTACTGGCAGTCAGTTTGATATCAACATCAACCTTATTTTTGCCAGGTTCAGTGACGATGGGAAAAAATACTTTGTTCTGCAGGTGATAGTGTTATTCATGAATCATTTCTGCTTATGTAACATTGCTCCTTACAGTTTATTTTGGAGCCATGTTCTACTGTTTTGAAATACTTTTTGCATCCCAAAGGGTTCAAAGCCCTTCATCCTTATGTAACTGATAAAAGACTTGGAAGCACTTGTAGAATAATAGTTAATCAACAGCATATAATCCAGATGCATTCAAGGTTATTAGTATTTGTAGTCATAAGTTTTGCCTATTTTATAAAAGGACTTAAACCTGAAAAAAAACACCCAACCCATTGTGAAGTGTTTGAATTTAACAAAACAGCCTATTTTATGTTCATGTGTATTAAGGCTAGGCAGTACTTCAGATTCTGTTCCAAAAAGGTGTTTTGAATGGTATAGCTATAAAAAGTAGGATGCCTAGTTTATACTGTGGAAAGAACCTTGGAACAGAAGATGAACACAAGCTGATTGTGCCTCTGCAGTGTAACATAAATATTTAAAAGTCCAATTTTATGCCACATCAGTAGAAGAATAATGTCCAAATAACAGAAAGTAATAATTAATAGTAAATATTAATAATTAAACCTGTGACTATCGCTGACTCTGGGTAATTTAGATAATACCAATGGCCAGGGCATCTCAGGGAGAACCTCATTCAAAAGAGGGGAGGTGCTATGGCAGAGAAGGCACACTTCCTGAGATTAACTGAGGAACCAGGTGAGTGCCCATCTACTGGAACAAACTGGCTGGCAGATACCATGGAATATAGATGGACCCTCAAGTAATTATGCCCTGTGCCAAATACAGAACACAGTATATTTTTATGTATTATTTTTCGTGAAGGATTCAGAGAATCTGGATGATTAAGAGCCATAAAGTAATCAAGGGATTAAAAACCAATTGTCAGGAGAAGAGATCCAGTACGTTTGGCTCAAAAAAATATTAACTCTTCCAGGATCTTTGGATAAACAAATGATTCTCACTAAATAACACACAGCACACAACTGTTTCTTTTGTTATTATTTAGCTTTATTTTTATTTTTATTTAATGCCACTTTTATTGCTTTATAAGTAACTCAAGGTGAAGAACATCCAGAATACTCTTTCTCCTCCTGTTGCGTCCACAACTCTGTGAGGTGGGTTGGGCTGAGGGACTGGCCCAAACAGCTTTCATGTCTAAGGTGGGATTAGAACTCAACAGCCTCCTGCATGCACTTTTATATTTTCTCGGGGCATATGTATATAGGGGCATAGCAAAGATGATTATATGTACGTAAAATGTTTCTCCACCAGATCCCTGTCCTATCCTCCTTTTTATAGTTTATTTCCTTTGTGTCTCAGCTGAGATTTCATTGATTGCTCTCACTGTTGAGCCACGTAGATTTTCCTCTTTCTTATGTAATTTTTCAAACAGTGGCCAGTCTAGCCCAGTTTTAGAGTCCCTCACTGGCATAACTCAATTTAAAAAAAAAAAAAAAGCTAATGGACATGCTCTTGATTTTATCGTTTCAATTTAATGTTTAGGTTGTAAAGGAACAATGAAAACATTGGTCATTGGACTTGGAGGGTAAGTATGAATAGGAATTTGAAATCCTCTTTTCTTATTTTATGTATCAATATATATAAATACAGATGGTCCTCATTTAATGATCATTTGCTCAGTATGGATTCTTTTCATTGCATGTTAAACAGTATTTATATTTTTTATTTATATAATTTACATTTATAAAGGCTGCCCTATTCAGCTTTGGCTATTATTGGCATACAATACCAATAAAATACAATTAAAAATTATGACACTTTCTGTAATAATGATTGCCAAATGTCTAAATCTATGTTCTATAGTGTACTATGAAAATATTCAGTGTATATGAAATTGCAGTTTCCACTGTTGTTGCAATCCTAGTTCTAATATTTTTGCTGTTGCAACCACACAAATACTTTTAAGAACCCTGCTCTCAGGAAGAAAAAGGACAAATACTGAATGATCATTGTGCATTTATTCTGTAGAAGATAATTGACAGAGAACGCCCTTATGCAGCTATAATAAATAACCTTCTGGCTACTTAAAAGTTTAAAAAATCATTACATTTGACTGGATACAAAGCAATTGCAGAGTAAACAAAGCTATTAACAGTGCTATCTACTGTATAGTTTGTTCTTCTCAACATTTTTTCTCCCCATTTCCAATTCAGTGTAACAAATGGAGGCAAATCAACCCTGGCAGGAAAGCTGAAGAAATTGTTCCCCAATTGCACTATAATTTCCCAAGATGACTTTTTTAAGGTAACAAGTTTAAAAAAACTTTACACTTTGATATTTTGCTTTGTTGCAGAAGTGGATTTAACTTTGTTGATTCCAATGCCCACAAAGATTCTCTTCGCCCTACAGTGAGTCTATGCAGTGATGGACATCAAAAGTTAATATGACTTACCCAGTGTGATTAGAGTTCTCAATTAAATAGGGCAATATTTCTTAGTCTCAGCAACTTTACATGTAATCCTTGTTTACTGACCACAATTGGGACCAATAACTTCATCACTAATCCATGGAGTTGTTAAGCAAGACATCATATGGCTGCAACTGTGATTTTACTGCTGGCTTCTCCATTGATTCTGCTTGGCTGTGAAATATGCAAATAATAATAACATGAATCATAGAATGCTGTGATAATTATATACAGCCATTGGCTGTTAAGTGCCCAAATGGTGATTGTGTGATTGATTGTGGGGTAAGTGCAAGAATAGTCATAAAGTTACCCTTTCAATGCGTTGCAACTTCAAACAGTCACTAAACTAAAGCAGCCGTTAAGCAAGGATTGCTAGTATTTGAACTTCAATTCCCTAAATTCCCCAGCCCTTTTAGGCAGCGTCCTAAAACTGCTGAGATTAAGAAACATTGAGGTAGGAAATTAATGTGTGTAAAAATGGTGCCTCATTGCGGAATTTCTCCTCACAGTGTAGAAGTAGGTCAGCATGTGAAGCTCTAGTTATTTTGTCACGGAAGTTTTAATCCTCTGCACTTTGGAATGGCTGCTAAGTTTCTAGAAAATCAGCCAAATTGACCTGATCTCAAAATTACCAAAACAATGATCTCAAAAATTGCGGAAAAGACTCTTTCCTTCATTTGTTTTCCTGTATTGTTTGTCTACTCAAACATTTCAAACTTTGTGTCAACCCTGGAGCCATCTTTGAGCATCTTCAGGGTTGCCACAGTGAGGCTGGCTGGAGCTGTGGGAAAGGGAAGGGGGAGTAGAGATAGCTGTGGGGAATATGTAGCCAAAATAACATTCTTTCTTCTGTGAACCAAGGACACTGTCACCAGCACCTGGAGGGGCATGGATGGAAGGCATCCAGGATGGGAAGAAAGACCTGGTGGGAGCATGTGATGGTTGTGTGTAATGTGGGGAAGAACTTTGGATTTTGAACTGGGTGGGGAAAACCCAGGGGACTTCAGATTCGGGTTTTCACCAGCTGTACCAATATGACATGCCTAATAAATCTATACTTTGAGGAACCCTGCCTTGGAGTTTTGATTTCCTATGGGCTGTTACTTGGAATCCTATTGTGATTTTTCTTGTTCTGTAAATTATTATTTCACAAACTTGGCAAATACCAGTTTTTAAATGAAAGAATACGGTTTGTGGGAGGTGTTTTTTTAATTATTAATGCACAGGAATTGAATTTACTTGGTACAGAATGATAGGGATAATATCATTAGGTGTAAATTGCCTCTCTGTGTTAAGATTTGCAGCCACTTATCCTGTGAGTTTGTACCATACTCTCCATAACGTTAATATGTTTGGTTTTCTTTAGCCTGAATCTGAAGTGGCCAAAGATGATCATGGATTTCTGCAGTACGATGGTAAATATTCTGGGTTTTGTAATATATATATTTTGAAAACTCAAAAGAGAGATCTGGATGGCCCCCCCATCCTTATGGCATTCAAAAAGCTATTAAAAGGCCTTGCTATTTTCTCAAGGTTTTGGGCAGGATGATGGTTGTGCCCCTTTTGGATGGGCTTCCTGGCTCAGTCATAATTTCTCTTCTGTTTTTTGTATTGCTCTTACTTTTCACCTGTAAGCCACGTAAGAGTAATCAGGAGCCAAGTGGCTTTTAAATTATATATATGTACCTGCAAATGTATAAATAAATTATAAAATGTAATACTGAAAAATACAATTTTCAACAAGATATTTCAATGATCTGAGTCTTTGTACCATAGCACAAAGGCATCCAATTTATAAATGAGAAGGCCCTTTTTTTTCTAGACAGCGAAGGTCTTCTCTGCTCAATCTGGTTCTCCCTTTCCTAGATGTCCTGTACCAGGAACCAAGTGTTCAGAGGAAATCTGCATTTTACTTTGTTTAACTACTTATAAAGCTTGCTCTATTATGGAAATAGCTTGTTCTTGGAATGCAAATGTGCTACGTTTGCCTACAAAAACAACTAGCTGGTTTAAAAGCTGTTAATATAAATAAGATACTTGGCAGAAATAAATGTGATTAACTTGTTCAGGTTCAGACAGCCCCGATTGTTGTGCAATGCAGCCAATTATTAAATGTTTGAATTGCAACATAATAAGCATTCACCATAAAATGAATTGGCTTAGGAAAGCATAGTAAGCTTTTGGGGATTGTAGAACGTCATTACATATGAATGAGATGAATCACATTTTCACCTCCTTCATAGATCTGAATTGAACTAGCAGAAAGAAATAGATATGAGAAAAGACAAAAGAATTAATCTCTTTCTAGGATAAAGATAATTTATGTAAAAGCTTTAGGCTGTCTTAAAGCTGTCTGGATTTAGAAAGGACTTGAGTGCCTACAAAAGTCAGTTTATTGTTGGAATATAAATATTTTCATTAAGTAGTTAAATGGAAAACAGTTAATCATGAAAATACAATAACCAAGTTTACAGCTAGCATTAATGAAATTCAGTAACACTCTCTGCCCCAGTTTGACTTTAGGGTAGTTCATCTCAAACTTGTTCATTAGAAAGATACTATTTTGATTCCACATTTTTGCCAAGCAGAGAAACTTGTCCAGACTGTTCAGATTCACTTTTTAAAAAACATTTTAAAGTTAGGGAACCCTCACTAATATATTTTGATTATAAATAAATGTGTTAGTTTACTTTCTTCATATAGCTTTGAAAAATGAAATGAAACCAACTGTTCTAAGTATGAAGTTTTACTGCCTTAAAAGAATTCATATACTTATTTTAATTCATTTTGCTTAAGGAGAACATAATATTTCGCTTTATATACTAAATGATAAAGATTTAAAATTTAGTACAATCCAAACTGTACATGAGAAGCTGAAACAATTGGGGTTTTTTTCCTTGTTATTGTTTGGAAATTATTGATCTGCTGTTTTTTTTTAATCTATCCTTAATTCATTACCACCCATTTTTCTGCTATTTGCATAGAATTTCAGATTTGAGAACTATAGTAAGATCATTGAATCACTCCTATACTTTGCTATCACTTTGTAAACTTTCCTGTTTCCAGTCCTGATTAATCAACCGTAAACATACTTTGCATTTTCTCAGATGGTGCTGAATCCTCAAAATAACAAAATTTTCTAACATTTAAAGTAATCCCCAACCCTCCCATTCTGTTCAATATAAACTTCAAGCTTTGGCCCTTGAGTGTCTCATGAACAGAATGAGTGCCGACTGGGAATATTGCCTTACATTTTAAGATTTAAGTGTCTCTTTTAGTACTTGATGCCTTGTACATGGAGACAATGGTGGCAAGCATACGTTCTTGGATGACAAAACCAGAAGACTCTGCATTGCCAAGACCACCCAATAATACACATGATGATCAGACAGGAGCAAAAGATATTCGGGTCTTAATTATTGAAGGTTTCCTTCTGTTTAACTACAAGTAAGCAGCTGTTTAACATTTACAAGAACTGCAATATGGCAAACCAGCATCCCTTACTTGTCATTTTACTCTTGCAGGCCCCTTAGTGATATATGGGATAAAAAATATTTCTTAACAATTCCCTATGAAGAGTGTAAAAGGCGAAGAAGGTATGGCATACTAAAAGCAATGCTTAATATAAAACTTTTTTTTCTTTGTCCACTGTTTTCTTCTCTCTGTAAAGCTGCACATCCTACTTCAAAATAAGCTCCACTTTTAGGCTGTCTTTGTGTTGTATATTCAGCCCATGGGCCAGATTTCCCTTTGACTGGAAATGGTGTTTGGAAAGGGGAATCGACCAGTGGTGGGATTCTACCAGTTTGTGCCTATTCGCTAAAACCAGTTGTTAACATTGTAAGCAGTTCAGAAAACCAGTTGTTAGAAGAAATTACTGGCCTAATCCTGTAAGGAAGGCAGGAAGAAAACATTCTGGAGTTGCCTACAGAAACTGCTTCTCTGTTAACCCTTATTACATTCTTGGCAGGACTAGACTTCCTGTCTTAGGAACATCTCTGGAATTTTTTCCCCTCCTTTGCTGGTACTTTGCTTGTGTGGAGTGACCATTCAAAGTTACAATGGCACTGAAAAAAGTGACTTATGACCGTTTTTCACACTTAGGACTGTTGCAGCATCCCCACAGTCACGAGAGGTCAGGCGAGGAGATGCGTGCCTCGATGTGAGTGATATTGAGTTGGCTATTCACATGACCACCAAGCCATACCCACCAACTAAGCCACGGCCACAGAACTGGTTGTTAAAAAATTTGAATCCTGCCCCTGTAAATGCGTGGGAAATGCGTAAAAGGAGGGAAATTACACTTGGGGATATGGCACACAAATTTCAGTTCTGGCTCTCTTTTACTGCAGTTCATTTGACTTCTAATAAAACTATCTTTTGCAACGAATGGAGGCAAGGATCATTTTTACTTAGAGGTGCAAGCTGAGGCAGAGCGGACAGGATGCTTTTCGCAATGGAAAAAGATAGGGTGATCACTTCCAGCATTTTTTTCATTAAAGGAGATCAATCTAGACAGAGCTTTAGGGAACAGTAGGTCTTTTGCACAGATCTTCTAACAGAATCCAAAACACTGTGAAATCTACTTAGATCAGCATGATCTTTCCTTACGAGAGCTCCATTATTTGTTAGTAAAGCTTGAGGCACATCATTATGGAAATTACCTCTGAATACTGCTGTGGATGCTGCGGGCTTTATAGCTATTATAAAGGTTTTATTTGAGGATGGTTAATTTGTGATTCCCTCCTAAGTTCTTGATGGTAGAATTCAATTCATGATAGTTGGGGCTTTTAGGGACTTGTAATTTAGCTATATTCAAAAAGTCATAAGTGCTCAACTATTCTGCTAAAGCTACAAAGGGTTCAAGGATCACAACTTGAAAACATGTTAAATTTCTTTAAGTGACCCATTATGCTTGAGTGACTTTGACAAAAATTATGAAAATGCCTTAAAATAATAGCATTAAACAATATGAAATGCAGGACTATAAAATCTAGGAGTGAAGTACAGAAAAAAGAAACCATTTAAACATTATCAAACTAATAAGAACCACTTTGGGTTTTATTTTTGCTTAATGTAGCAACAGAATATACAGTCCACCAGACCCACCTGGTTACTTTGATGGACATGTGTGGCCCATGTATCAGAAACACAGGAGAGAAATGGAAGAAAATGAAGCAAGCATTGGTACAGCTAACATTCTTATAGTTCTGTCAGGTGTCTGACATTTGCATAAATAGTGCATAGCTACTTATGCACTTCCTATATTCTTTTCTTTAAAAATGTCTTAATATTTCTTTGCATTTATGTAAAAGGTGAATAGCTATGAGTGTGATAAGAGGGTCTTTAGTTCCCAAATGATTAGACATTTATAAGCTCACACTCTTAGTGGTCAAACTGTTGTTTGGATTGCACGGGACCTTAAGTTATATATCTCTGTATAAACTGTGCTAGTGGATAGGTTATATTTATTTATTTATTTATTTATTTATTTATTTATTTATTTATTTAATGTATATGCCACACTTCTCAGCAATAAAGTGATTCTGAATTTTTTCCTCTGCTGAAAATAATTTGCATTTGTATTCCACCTTTTGCAGTTTATTTAGATGGAACAAAACCACAGGAAGATCTCTGTTCAAGGATATATAATGATATAATGCAGGAATTGGAAAAGACAAGTAAGTAATTAGCCTGAGTTAAGATAATTTGCATCAAGAAAACTGCAAATAATGCCAGATGCATCATTAGATTTGTATGTGTATGTTTCCCAATACACTTGAAATCAAATGAAAGCTGAGAAACATAATCTGGTCCCACGGAAGTATAGTTCAACTCGTGGGTTTTCTTGGACAGCTGCTAGGGCTTCAGTGTTTCACTGCCTTGTCTAAGATCTTTCCTCTCCACTCAATCCTACTACAGGTACAGGCAGATTGGGGAAAGCAATTGGTGGCTATTAAATCTTCACCTTCAATTTTTTTTCCAATGCCCAGAATATTAGGTCATTCAGGTAATAAATATATCCAGTAATCTGCATGTGTTGCATATAGGTCAGTATTAGTAAACATGCTGGAAAACGCCCATCAATATTCGGAAACATATCATTACAGAAGCCTTACAAAATGACTATGCCACAAGCACAGTCCTTATCCTTATCTTCCCCTAGCTGAGGTAATGTTTTATGTCTGGTACTCCTAATACCATTGTATTGTGGTTTTGAAAAAGAAAATACCTCTTACATTTTACCTCTTAAACACAGGTTTATTGTAATCCTCTGAGAGCACTTCATTTTCCCTTTTACAGCTAAAACTTAAATGAGCAATCAATTTCATAAGTTTTTAATGTTACTTATGGGGGAAATGATTGCATTATTCTTGCAAAATTATAGTTTCCAAAATGTTATGTGCATGTTTGACTAACAAGTTACGTCAAAATAGGTTTTATTAAATTTGCAATTGCTACACAAAATAAATCCTTTTGAATGAATTTTTTACTTTAGATATGTAAGAATGAAGCCTTGTATTGGAGGTCTTTGGGAAAGCAAAAAAAGTATTATGATAAATACATTTTTATATGTATATAAAATACATATAAAAATGATAATTTAAGGATATGTTAACATTGGAAATGGATTGAGTAGGAAAAACTGCAGCACATCTTCGAACCAATGTAGGTTTTGTTCTTTTTTCTATAGGTGAGCAAGGCATTATTATGCATGCATAAATTTGCTTTCATTACAACTTGCTTCATGAAGCACTGAAGAACATCCCAGGCCCCCTTGCCAGTTGACAGAAAAGCACTAAAAATTAAATGAGGAAAAGCCAGCTCTTCTGTACAATGGGATATATTGGTTGTGGTTCGGTACCAATTCAGTTGCTGCAATTCTTCTAACTCCTTTCTTCTTAATATTGTCAAAAAATGAGAGGTTGTTATATTTTATAATAGTGTCTCTACTGAATAAAGTTGGAGGTTACTTTTTGCATATATTTGGTCACTTGTTAACTTTTCCCTTTTATCCTTTCCTTTCGCTATATATTAGTTTGTTTTGAAATTTAATAAAGCTGTCTATTATAGATATATATGAAAGACTGAGAATCATGCTTGAAAAACGGATTACTGTTTTAGGCAAGTGCTAAAGTGCCTATCTTCTTAATGACAATAGTTGACCGTTAAAAGATTTATAGATAAAATTTACTTGAAATAATTTGAAACAGAAGTATATATAAAAAGGGGACCTGTAGAGAAATCGATTACATACTGTAGTAGCACTAATATTTCAATGTAATTATTACTCCATTAATATTATCTCTACCTTATTATCATTAGCACTATGCACACTATTAAGAAATCTAATTTTCTCATTAGGATACAGAATACATTGCGATCTCAAGGAAGAAATAGGTTAACATTTTCTAATATGTCCTTATTATTATTACTTGTTTTGTTTTTCTAAGAGAAAAAAATGGAAACTTATCTTTTCATTTCACATTTTGGGAAGAAAAAAAAAGGAGCCATTTACTAACGCATCTTTGGATCCTTAAGTACTAATTTCGGTCCTGAATTTAAGAATATTTTTCCTGTGACTTGATCCGTACAGGTATCTGAGCAAACCCCTATCGTGAAATTCAATCAATTCAATCAGAATAGAGCTGAAAGCGACCTTCTAATCCAGCGCCCTGCTCAGGCAGACCCTTTCTTTCAAAGGTTCTTTTCCCGATAGGTACACCATGCAAATTTTTCCAGGGGGATGGTAATCCTTTGTTTATCAAAGCGCCCAGATGGGAATTTGAGTTACATCGTAGGTTAAGAATCGCACTTTAGAAGAACCTCTGCAAATATTCAACACAGGATGGGCTTATGGCGAATAGCTCAATTGCACCCATGCTTACGAGAGAGTCCTATCAGTTATTGTAGGATTTGGAAATGCAGAACCCCATCCTCTTCGTTTCTGGCTTAGCAACAATGGGTACGAAATGCTGAGCCAGGTCGGAAACAAATCGCTCGGACCATCAACGGGAAGCGATGCACAGCTCTAGCCAGCAGAGCTTCAGCCTTCACTCCGCTCATTTTTCTGAACAAAACGAAAGAAGATCCGCCTCATCTCTAACCAGGCGCGGGCGGTGAAACGCGCATGCGTGGCGGGTCGTTCGCTTCCCCCCCCCCCGTGCCACGCGCTTGCGCATTGGGTAGCCGTGCCCGAGCGAGAGCGGTAGAGTCGTGTTCGGCGGAAGGCGGTAGGCTGACCCGCCGCCTTAACAGCTGTTCTCTATGAAGCCGGAAGCTCGTCGGCATGCGCGGAAAAAGGCGCGTGGAGGCCGAGCGGCCGTTCGCTTTCGGCGTCGGAGAAAAGCGGCCGAGATGTCTGTGCCCACCGCGTGCGCTCTGTCGCGGCAAGGACAGCAGGAGACGCCGCGGGGCAAGGCGATGCGCGGGGACAGCCGGGAAAGCGAGGAAGACGAAGAACAGGCGGAGCCGCCCAGACGGGATGGAGAAGCGGCGGCAGGGAACACCTGGTGCGAGCCGGACTCCCTACCGCAGTTGGCGACCACGAAGTTGGACGGGAAAGAGGAGGAGAAGCAGGAACGGGAGCACTTCCGGAGAATTATCAATGCCTTCCGTTACTATGGGTAACCGATTCACTCCGCGCTTACTCTGATACCCTTCATCCCATTACCTGTGTGGAGTATAGGAGCCCTGACTTCTGATCCACCAGTTCATAGCGATATCTACCCACGGAGGCTGGGAGGTGGTGGTGGTGGGGCTTAAGTGATCAAGGGCTGGAAATAACAGGTAGTCCTCGGCTTACGACATTTCTTTTAGTGACCATTTCGAAGTTGCAACAAGGAACTTAGGACTATTTTCCACACTTATGACCGTTGCAGCATCACCATGGTCATGTGATTTACATTCGGAGCTTGACAACTGGTTCATATTTATGACGCTTGCAAGCGTCCCAGGGCTCATTTTTTGCGACCTTCTGACCAGCAAAGTCAATGGGGAAGCCAGATTTACTTAACAACCATGTTACTAATTTAACAACTGCAGTGATTTGCTTAACAAATGTGGCAAGAAAAGTCATAAAATGGGGTCAAAATGCACTTCACAAATTTCTGGCTTAGCCACATAAATCCTGGGCTCAATTGTGGTCATAAGTCAAGGACTATCTGCAACCCATTTCAAACCTGGCCTGAATCATGGAAGCACATTGAGCGACTTGGGACCAGTTCGCATTCTTTCAGCCCAATTTGCCTCTCAATCAACCTTAAGCTCTAAGGCAGGGGTCCCCAACCACCGTTCCCGGACCGGTACCGGTCCGTGGAACAATTTCTACCAGGCCGCCGGTTTGCTGGGCGCCGCCATCTTGTTTTGATGAAAAAGTGCTTCCGGTGAGCTTTTCCAGGTAGAAAGCAGCGTTTGGGTGCTGAAAGAATCCTCGCGCCTTAGTTTCATCGAGGGGGGGCGGCTTCGAACAAAACTAAGGCACGAGGATTCTTTCAGCATGCATGGCAAGGCGAGCCGAGTGACCGTCCTGAAGCCCATCGACACAGATACAAAGGAGGAGTTGAAAGTGGCGGGGAGAAGCGGGGGACGGCTGGCTGGCCGGTCGCTCGGCTCACCTTGCCATGCGTGCTAATGCCGGTACCGGGCCGCGGATGATTTTGAGATGCCGGTACCGTGGCCCGGCACAAAAAAGGTTGGGGACCACTGCTCTAAGGGAAAAGCTGGGATACCCCTTTAATAAATATTTACTCAGACGTTAACCCTGCTGAGTACATTGGGACTTAACTCTGAAGTAAATAAGATGCCAATGTGGCACCATCCAGAATGTTTTGAAGCCTAGCTCTTAGGGCCTATTGATCGTTAACCATTGTGAGTGGGGATTATGAGAGGTCTAGCATGGAAGTATTTGGTACTACAGTTTTAGTTCGGAATACTGTTTTTGAGCACATCTTTTCTATTATGTAAGCCATGAAATGATGTCTCCTGTTTAAGGGAATTATGGCAGATTTCGATAACTTGTTAAACTGCAGAAACATCACACCTAAGTAGGTGCATGTATTTTGAAGGCCATGGTTTTGCCAGTTGTAACATATGGTTTTGAAAACTGGGTCCTCAAAAAGTCTGAATGAAGAAAGATTGATCTCTTTGAGTTGTTCGTCTGAAAAATTGTTGAGAATGTCTTGGATTACATAAAGAACAAATAATTTGTTCTTTATGTAATCAAAATACACTACATAAACAAGCAAATTGTTTATATACTGTTTATTGAAGGTGGTGATCCTTTGAGAGCTGTATGCAATGGAATTTCATTTTAATGTATGCAGATTAGTGACAAAGTTATTCTAAGTAAGTTTCTAATATTAAAAAAAAACAAAATGAGGCTACTTGTGGAAGCACTCATTTAAACTGCAGTTTAAATATTTGGACACACAATATGAGGGCAAGAGTCACAAGAGAAGGTCATCAATAATATCAAAGTGAATTTTAAAAAAGAGGCCAACAGAAGACAAAATGGGTAGATAATAACACTGATCACGTATGCATAACCTTTCAAGAAGGCAGTAAGACCTATTGACTATTGCAACATTCTGAATAGTTGTGGACAGGATTGTTTAAATCCTTATCATTTCATTTCTGTTTCCAAAATCATAGAAAGAGTAAATGAAGATACCAGTGTCAATTACACAGCACATTAAGTTTTCTAAATCAGGGATCTCTAATCTTGGCAACTTTAAGACTTGTGGACTTCAACTTTGCTGGGGAATTCTGGGAGTTGAAGTCCACAAGTCTTAAAGTTGCTAAGGTTGGAGACCCGTGTTCTAAATTACCACTTCCAAATGTATTGCCATGTCCATATTCATTGATGTAGTGTTTCAGTTTGTGGTTAGTTTTAGGAATCAAGATGAATTTCAACAGGATCCTCTTTTTAACACTTTTTACATGTACCAATTGTGTCTGGGAAAGTAATGGAACTGCCAAATCTGCAGGTCCTAGTATAGATTTATTGGTATTTTAATTTTGCTTTTAATAAAAATACTGTGTTTATTAATTGCATTTCTACAATGTCAATGTCTATAATTTAAACTATAAAATGCATTGCCTGTCCATATTTTAGAACCATTTGAAACAGCCACAGAATAAACCTAAACCAATTTAAATGAAGTCAACAATTCAGCAAAAGTTTTAAAATACATTTATCTTCTGCTTTAAAAGTTTTCTGAAAAAATATCTATGTGCTGTTTTACAAAGATTATAAATCTAAATGGCTATTGGTGACAGGCCATATGCATTTGTCATTTCTTCTAAAACAACGTGATCTAAGTAACAAATATATTTGTTATTAATATAAAATAGATTTTGGAACATTGTTCTGTCTAGCAATAAAATTCATGGGATCCTAAATTATTGATTTTGACAAGATTCTAAACCATGTGTATATATTCTCATATACTGGCATACTGACTTTGGGATGAAACTATATGTGATAAATTTATATATGTGATTAAAAAACATTTCCAAATGGGAATCCACTAAAAATTTACAAAACTGATACCAAGGGAACTTTGTTTTACTCATTATTTTTGATTTTTTTTAATTTCTAGAATTAATATGCATGAAAGAGTGACTCGTGCAGAAAGACAATTTAGAACACTTCCAGCCTTGCAACAGAAATTGTTACCTCAGTTTCTTCCTCATCTTGACAAGATTCGAAAATGTGTTGACCACAATCAAGGGATCTTGCAGTCTATTGTGAATGACTGTACCCGAATGTTTGAAAATAGAGAATACGATGGTGATGTATGTTGAGCATTTTATTTCTAAAAGAGCAATTTTGTTGTATTCAACTTATTTTTTTAGTGATTCATAAATGGTTTTTTTTACACATGGAAAAGTTTTCAAATTACCTGAGTTAAATTAAGAAAGTTCTAGGAAAATTGATAAACCCTTTCTTAGATTTTACAAATGAAATATCTTTCTAGTCT